CCAGATTTCCAGTAGCTTTCATTTCAGTCCAAAATAATGCTCTATTGTGTAATTTGGCCCTCATTTATACTGATTTTCCACATTGGCCCCTTGATTATCTTGAAATACAAAATAAACCCAAAAGTAAACTAATTCTATAAGTAAAAAAAATGAGTAGAAAATGCCTGCTAAAAGTGTATATATTTTACTGTCCTCAAAAACTCTATTTAAATGGAGATTGGAATGCATTAATGCTATCTCAAAATATACAATGAATATCATTGTTAGATAACTTTTGAAAACTTGATTGAACATATTTACTTTAGCTTGCCACTGTTAATTCTTTCATGTATAAAGTCAAACCAAGTGAATGGTGATACACAATGGATACTTGTTCGGCTCTCAAATGTGTTGCAACCACTGTACTTGTTCGGACACTGATCTTTAGAGAGTATGTCACAACTGTTACTCGTTCTTGTTCGGTCACTAGTCTTTAGATAGTGAGCCACTCATTATCTTGTTATGATCGAGTCCTTTAGATCAATGGGTCTACTCTATTGTTATATGCGGATCAACGCGTGAGACGTTTCGGCCGTTTGATTTTCTATCAATACATGAGCTGTCCTATCCGCGTTGTACTTGCATTATTGGTTTGATTATGCTTGTCCTGGTTGAGTGTAATGCGTGAGACGTTCCGACCATGATAGCTAGCACAAGAGCCGTTTCGTCGTGTTAAAACTCGAAGAGATATATATGAACCACTTAAAATTGTTGGCTTGATATGTTTGTTGAAACTATGAGATTTGATTACTTGAAAGTATAAGTTTATACTTTGGAAATGTAGATTATATTTAAATACATACATTGTCTATTTATGTTTATTTGAGTTTAAACGCTTGGTAGGTGAAAACCCTTTTGTTTTTCTCACAAGCTGCCCAGCTTATCACTCCCCCCCCCCGCCCACCTTCCCACTCCTTGCAGATTAAGAGTTAATACCAACTAAGGGTTTCCAGCAAGTTGCGCTCGTGAGTGTTTTGGGCCGACTATTTTCTATAGGGGTTTCTAGAAAAGACATTTTTATTTGTTCCCTAAGTTGGATATGTAGTCTCTTACACGTGAATTTATTTTGTTGAATATGTTTCCGCAACTATTTGGAATTTGGTTTAAATAAATGACTCTAGTGTAATTAACATTTTGTATTTTAGCCTTTTAAAAGTGCCAAGTTTTGCAGGATGTCACAGCAACTCTTAGTGGTGATTTTGTGTGGATTATTTTTTGAGTGCAATGAAGAAATTGAAATGCATACTTGTGTGCTGTAGGGTGTTGTGTAGCCTGTGATTACATTGAAATGTGAATCAATTGGACTTGAGGTTGTAGTATCTCTATGACACGAAAGTGTAGAGAGTGAACCAATAGGTCTACACCACCGCACTTAATCTAATAACTAGATGAGACCGAAAGAAGATTCTAGTCGTTGAGTTCTAACAACTAGGAATAGAAGTTAGAAGTGCAAAAAGTAATGGTTCCAAAATTTCCAAAATCTAATTTGCGTAGTTAGGTTGAATGAGCACTACCTTCATCACATCTAAGGAAAACATTAATAACCTTGTTGGACTTTCTATTGTCTTAGCCCTATTTTTCTTGTATTATTTTCCTTTTTTTACTTGATTTTTATCCTCGATCTTTCGTTCCTTGTGTATTCAATATTTTGTGCTTGTGAAATATCTCTTTTTTCTCAACCCTTCGGAATTTAGCACTACTTTAGAAAATAACCTCCTCGTGGGATCGACACTTACTTGCACGACACATCTGCGGTCTTCCTCTTGGGTCTTGAGTGCATGCAAACAAGATTTTTTATTATTTGTTTGCGTGTATGTACTTCTCATATACATCCAAAACGTACTACAACAAATTGGCACCGTTGCCGGGGAGGCGTCATTTCCTTGGAATTTTAGTGTTTTATTGTTTGTTTCTTATTGTGTGTTTGTTTTGTTTTAGTTGGTCTTTTATTTTATTAGTTGCTTAGTGTGTCTTTCTTGTGTTTACTTTTGTTTTTTTTTTTTAATTGTTTTACTGCTCCCATAATTGCTCTCTTATTTTTGTATTGATATGGAGGAGTGGGAAGTTAAAAATTTAGAAAAAATTTAGGAGGAGCATAGAAGGTTATATGGCCCCGCTCAAGTATTTGAACCAAAACTAGATCCCATTCATGAAAATAATTACAATCTTAGTACATTTTCCATTAAATAATATTTTAGAAAACTTGAAAGATATTTTGAGGAAGAATATGTACTTTGATATGTTACATTACTAGATCTTAGTGATGTTTTGAGAAATTAAGAAAATAATCAATGTGCCGCAAAGTGTTTTGACTATTTTCTCATTGTATGAATTTGAGGATAATGAGGAATGCATAAGAAAGTTGGAACTTAAATCGAGTGAATTAAATGACAATCTCATGTATTATGATTCTAGTTTTTTCTTTTCTACATTAGTGCCTCAAAGAGTTCACAAGAGATAGCCAGTGAGTTTTAATGTCTAAGAAATTGAGAATAAACCAACATGTTCTCTTTGGTCTTTTGATAATTTTGATGAGAAAGATTCTTTGATTCTTATAGCGATTATCAAAAGAGTTAGTTGTTGGTTTGTGGAAGAAACTCTTTTTTAAAATGGAACCGGCTAATATGGAAAAAAGATAAACCTTAGAGGATGAATGGTACAAAGTCAATTTTGAAATGGATAAAACTACTTGTGCACTTGAGGACTATAACAATACATATCTTTTCAAATTTGTCTACATGAGAACTTCAACCATTTTTTAGGCAGCATATTTGTGGTATCGGGATGGTTAATCCGATATTAATTTTAGCCGGTGACGTTAAAACCAAACGCTTCTTGGGAGGCAACCCAACCATATAATATATTAATTATTTTAAATTTTATTTTATTTTTTATATTTTATTTGTCTTTTGAATTTTTTTAATTTTAAATTTGGTACATGATGGCATGAGCTTAAATATTAAACAAGGGTCTAAGGAGCGATAAAATGAACATGTGCACATTGGTATTTTTATTTTTATCCTTTTTTCATTTCTCTCTTTCCATTTGCTTATTTCCACTCTACTAACCATACACTTTCACACACCTTTACACACTTTCTCTCACACCATCCAATCACTTTTCACACATTTTCATTGCTATTTGTGTTTAAATATTTAAAATCATCCACTTAAGGTTAGTTCCTCTATTCACTGTGCTCTTTAAATCATTGAATTTTTTTTTTCCATTGAATGAAATTATGAGATGTCATGTGCTTATAGTGTTCATCATGATGATGTCTACTTTGGTTGCTTTACTTCAATTTGTCAGTTGGAGGGTTAGGGTATGTTCAAATGAGAATGATACTTCTAAACTAACTTATATGCTTAAATTGCTTGATTGAACCTTTGGTTTCTAATCATTAACAAGAACCCTATTACGAATCATGTCTTTTATATTAATTCTTAGTTTGCAATATTTTTCTCAACCTACATAATGTGATGGTGTTCTAATTCTTAAGTTGAGAGTTTTGTAATCTTGTTATCTTGATGATTTTACTTGTTCGATTTTTTTTCTTTGTTTTGTGCGTACATTTTCTAGGGACAATCATTCCTCTTGAGCGACCTCGAGGAACATCCGAATTAGCATCCTCAAGAAATTTTCCAACTTTTATGGAGAGATCGAAGGAGCATCTTTTCATGAGTTCTTTACATTTGTCCATATCCACCGACACTTCTTTGGTGAATGGAGTATTTTTTTACCTTTCTTACACATTGCAGACAATGTCTTGTTTTTGTTCGGAGGGAAGAGAATGCATGCTTGAATTGATACTAGTTTGGTGATGATACGTAGAGTTGAAATGTTGATGTGTGATAAAAATTTGTGCTAAAGTTTTTTTTTTATTTTTTTATTTTTTGTGATTGGATTATTGGTCATGCTTAGACTCAATTCAATTTAGATGATTGCGGATAAAGTTCTTGTACTTGCTTCTAGTCCATCTTGAATTTGTGTGTGGCATACCCTAAACTCTCCTTGTGAATTTGATTGCATTTATAATGTCTAGTGGGGTGAAAGGTAGACCAAAACAAACTAAACTAAGTGAACCATATGGCGATTATGCTTAAGGGAACATATTTTTCATCACAACTAGAGCCCTAAATGAAAGTGCGGGATAATTTTTTTGTGAACTCTCATGTACCTCATGACATCTCTTGCTTGTATCTAGTTGTGTACTTTGACTTATGATTTGAGTCTAAATATTTTTTGTGCTTAAAATGAAGTGTTCCCTATCTTGATACTTGAATTGGATAAGAATATGCATGTTTGGTCACAAAAAACATAGTAAATTGAGGCATAAATAAGCCTAAAAAGAGTGTCACTAAATGCTCTCGACTTTCTTTATTGAGTTTTCCTAATTAAGTGTATCTTCATGTTTGCTTATTATTGAACTTGCCTTGTTATTTATTTCAAAATGATTTAATTTGTGCACAAAGATGATGACACTACAAAAAAACAGGTCAGTACCCACGGACCAATGTCGTGGATATTATGCTTGTGTGACCGTGGGAAAATAAAATTACCCACGACTTTCCCACGGAAAAAAAGACGTCGGTAATATGCCCGTGTGGGTTCATCTTCCACGAAAGTCAACATTTTTGTGGGATAAAGAGTTGATTCTCTCATGACCTCTCCCATATAATGGAAGAGGTCATGAGAGAATTGACTCTTCATTTTTACAATTCAAGAAAAATCTCCCACGGCTTTCGTGGGGAAAATAAAAATATTTTTTATTCTAATTAATAATATTACCCACGACGGTCATGGATAAAATGAAATTTAATTTTTTAATAATACATACACCCCCGAAGATATCTGTGGGTAAATTATTGTTCTAAAAAAAAATACCAATAAATCTCCGTGGGTAAATTACTGAATTTGCTAAAGACAAGTCGTGGGTAATACTTTCATTTTTTTTATGGAATAATTATTTATATTTGAACCCCTAATGTTTACAATTATACCAAATCCAATCCAATAAATCTAATACCAAATGTCAATTCAACCATTAAATCAAATATTTCAAAAAGCATTCAACAAAGTTGTAAAGAACAATACAATTCAATCCAACAAACGTTTAAACCAGTGTCAAATGACGCAGAAACATCCATTTTCAAAATGAAAATCTTAACCCAACACACATCACCTCTATTGATCAACGCTAATCAACCTAGAGTATGGTTGTCTTCATCCTCGGACCTTCAATCCCAATCACTTGAATCAGAACCTGCTTGATCATTTTGCCCTTCTGACCCTTGAAGAGTTTGATCATCCTCAACACCAAGATCTAGGAATGGAACACCGTTTTGCTTGCACCACATCTCCATTGACTTCTGCAACTTCTCCATTCAATTAGAAGAGGTTTGGCACCATTCAATTAGATGATGTGCTAGGCCTTTTCAATTTCATGGCATTCAAAAGCGATTGGAAAATAAAAATGAATAAATAAATTAGCTACGTGAATGCCAAGAAAAGAACTAAAATATGCACAAAATAAGAAGCTTAAAACGTAATCAAATGAGACTAAGAAAATCTCATTTAGAAAAGAGTAGTTGGGAAAGAAAACCACAAAGTCCCAAAGTTGGCCTCTCATCATCCACGTTCTGAAATTCCAGCAAAGTACCATTGAAGGTACTATATTCAAAGCACAGTATTGATCAGAAGAAAGCTCCATTTTGAGAGACGTTAGAACCGTTATAAACTAGGTTGATTAAGGAAAGGTTTCATGAAGAGCAATCAAGAAATACAGTTCAAAATTAAGGAGAAAGATGTTCTCCAAAACAGCGATTCAAAACTGATGTTTCTGTAGAATTTCCAGATTCATTTGGTCATGTTCAAATCCAATTTCTGAGCAAATTATATCTCCGTTTAGTGTTTGGTAAGAGCTAAAATAAACTAACATAGAAGAGGTTTGAGGAAAGAAACCTCATAAAACAGTTTAGTAATCTAGACAAACAGAACTCCAAAAACAGCAGCTCAAGGCAGGTTTATAGATTTTCAGATTTTTAAGAATTGACAAGTTCAAATTAAGCAAGAAGAAGTCCAGTGCAGTGGGCTAGCACACCAAAATCTAGACAATAGAACAATGAACCACAACACACATACTCCTTATCCAAAGGATGGAAATCAGGAAAAGAGCACTTAAGGACTTAGTTTTCAGAAAATACAGAACAGGTTGGTCCTGTTCAAACCCAATTTTTGGACAACCCATACCTCCATTTGGCCATCCGTTAAAACTACACTAAACTACATCAAGTGTAGAAGAGATTTATTAAAAGAAATTTCATAAAAAGGTTCAAGAGACATGATAAATGAATCTCCAAAATCAGTCACACAAACCAGAAACCTAGTGACTTAACTTATAATATTCAAACAGAGTTTCTGAACAAACCAAAAGTCCATTGTAATGACATGTTTTTTTGTAGTGTAACTTGAATACTATAAACTAAAAAGGCTTGGTCTTAGAAGTATGCAAATCCATATGATACCTGTGATTGGGAGAGTAAGCCTCGAAGGATTGGCCCAAATGATGAATCCAACACCTCATCACATACAACCCAATGCCTTCCACTTGCTGAAACAATTAGACATATATGGTTTAGACGGGAATAGGTATGCTCGTGGCGAAACAAGTGTGTTTGCAAGAATGAATGGCTAATTGTGAGAATACCTATTCCCATCTAAACCATCTTTGCCTAGTTATTTTCTTCCCTTCTTCCATCCAAAACCTCCTTTGAACTCACATGAGTATCCCCTAGGTAGTCTGGAAGTTATACAACGAAGTCTTAAAAGAGGTTTTTTTAAACTTTCACAATCATAAATCAAAGGTAGAAGCTAAGTTCTAACTTCTAGCTTATTCAGGTTTCTTACTCCAAGAAACTTTAGCTAGGTGTAACCAAGCTGTCATTACTTTCATTTAAAAAGAAATGCCATCTCTGGAATATAGAGATGCAAACATAGTACTTAATGTTTAATAGTGAAAAACGCAGGGATTTAGTAGATAATAGTACTAAATCCAAGAGGAAGAAGTTTGAAACAAGCAGTGGTGAGGACCTCACCTCATTGTAAATTTCCCTTCAAAACAAGCGTCCAATTTGCAAGCCATCAAAACCAATGAAACCTACGTTGAGCAAAGAGGAGATTTAGCGAAAGAAATCAGGAACAACAGTTTATTAAGCAAAAGAAATCAGAGTTTCAAAACATTGCCCTGCACCAGAATTTTCGAAATTCAGTCTATCCGTGATGAACGGTCATTTTCAAAATCAATTTTTAAGCAATCCATAACTCCATTTGATAAACTGTAAAAACCAAATTAAACTATATTGAAAGGAGAAGGGATTCATGAAAAGAAACCCTCAAAACGTTTTTAGAACTGAGAGAACAAAGCTCGGCAAAAAAGCTACTCAGTTTGGATATTTTCTGAAATTTCGGAAGCTAAATCATGCTTAAATGAGATTTCTTTCAAGACTATTACTAATCCAGTGAATAACTAAAAGAAAACACCAAACCCTCATCAAATAAGAACTGAAACTAGGTAAAAAGTTGAGCAGAACAAAAAAAAAAGAGCTGAAGATTCAAGCATCGGAAGGTTTGTTTCGGCACTCTAAGATATTCAATTCAAGTGTAACCTACTGCACAAATTAATAAATTCTAATCAACAGACCAAAAAGCTGCACTAAATATACTCCTCTAAGGGTTGAACATCAGAATAGGAACATAAAGGCACCATGAAGTCAATTAGAAAAAAAAAAAAAAAAAAACCCGATTAAGGATACCTTGAAGAGTAAAGTTCGTTCTGCCAGGAGAATAGAGAAAGCTTCACAGCAGTTGTTCTTGAAGGACCCAGAAACTGATTTGGGTCAGGAGTCGGTCGAAGCCCACCAGCAAAATTCTGCAATTTCCCCATCTCTCACTCTTTCTACTTGGTTTTCAACTTTAGAACTTCATGAATATATACCATATCCAATAAGAAGAACCCGATACAAAGGATAGAGATTGTTCCTTTTCTATTGGCATTCTTTAATCCACCGTTGATTCTCTCTGCAGATCCGAAATCCACAAGTCTGGCACCGGAACCCCATGTCGTCGACGCCTCCTTCGCCGGCACAACACAACAATTCTCCTTCGTCTCCTTCTCCAATCTCCACCTCCGAAGTCTTTATGGTCGGTGTCGGAGCTGTGGTTTACAAGAAAAGGCAGTCCAACATTCAGAGAGCTCAGTTTGGTAAAAGTGATGCTGTCGACCATAAAAGAATTTTGACCAAAGAAATTAGGGAAAACAGTTCAACCATAAACTTTAAGTGACTTTAGTATATTCAACCTGATACGAATCTTGAGCCAAAGATGACACATTTACCTCGACGCAGAAATTATGAATTTCCCATCACTTAAAAACTTGTAAATCTAATATTATGAACTCCAAATTCACAAAAATAAAAGGAAAGAAAAGATACAAACCACAAAAATTTGCACAAAAAAGGATGGAAAGGTTTAGAAGATGTAGAAAGTGTTTAAGGCTAGCAACCCAATCGGTCACATCTCTAACAACTCTATCCCCTCAATTTATGAATAGAACGGCTAGCGAAAACGCTCCGATAAACAACTAACAAAGGTCCACAAATAGAAAAACACATATTCTACTTGCATGCATCAACAAAGTACAAGCTTGTGTGCAATGCACTAATCTTTGAAAAGAATAGAAAAAGAACAAAAATTTTCCTCTCGTCTCATATTAAAATATCAAATTTATCAAAAGTACCTTTAAAATGCTGACCAAGCACCCCTATTTATAGTAGAGGGGGCCGAAAATTCTCCTAACAATTCGGAGAAGAGTTTGATCTCTAACTCTATTACTACTTTAAAGAACTAGAAATCAACTTAACCTCTAATTGACAATTTGTGTCCTGTCTAAGAAACCAATGTATCTAGACACCTTTATAGACTTAAGAAACACTAGTCTAATGAAAATAAAACTCCAAATACAAAGAGATATTCTCTCAAAAGAATCTTATCCTTATCTTGAAAAAAATCTTCCTGAGTTGTCAACTCTATCAATATCCTCTTTGTAGAGTTATCATAACCATCCAATCTTGATCTAATCGTCATCCAACGATAGAGAGTAGACACCAATGAATAGACTTCTTATTTTAAATAAACTCCAAATTAGATAAAAGAGAATCATATCAAATCTTATCCTTTCATGTGATAAGATTTAAATGATCTTATCTCTGAAAGATAGGGAATCTCCAAATCTTATCCTTCCACAAGTATGATAAAATTTAAATGATTTTATCCCTAAAAGATAGAGATTCCAACTCCTAAAAATTAGGAGATAGGGTCGGCCTCCCTTACTTGGTTTGTAGGCCGAAATTTCCTTCCTCAAATGGGCCTTATAACACATCAATAATCTTGGGCTTGTAACTTCCAGATCTGACATTCTCTCGGGCCAAACCATTTGATATAAGATTATTAAGTGTACTCTTCATTCTTTTATTTCTAACTCGAGTCATTGGGCCTCCAATGTTAGATAATAGATCTTGAACCACTCCTTGAGCTTGGATAGTACTTAGAACCCGAACACCTTGATCATCTTGGACTTGATTACCATGGATGTTCACATGATTCCCTCCTTCCTCGAAAGGATTCGTTCTTGAATCCAAAGTTTGTACAGATTCAGCATCTGCGAAATCAAACGGAGATAAATCAGAAACATTAAAAGTCGCACTAACATTATACTCACCAGGAATGTCAAGTTGATAAGCATTGTTGTTCAAACGCTTGACAACTTGGAAAGGACCAGTTCCACGAGGATCTGATTTCAATTTAACCTTTGTAGGAAATCGAATCTTCCTTAAATGAACCCAAACCCAATCACGAGGTTCGAATATCATTTCCTTACGCCCCTTGTTGGCAATCCGCGTAACATGCTCATTTCTCTTCAAAATATTCATGTGTATTTTCTCATACTCAGCTTTCTTGGCTCCATCTGCATTAAGATACTCATAAACAGGCAATGGAGACAAGTCTAAAGGGTTAAGGGGCTAAATCCATAAGCAATTTCACACGGAGAATGTTGGGTAGTAGAATGCACAACACGATTATATGCGAATTCAGCAATGGGCAAACATGCTTCCCAATTCTTATGATTCTTTAGGATCAAAACACGAAGTAAAGAACCAAGAGTCCGATTAACCACCTCCGTCTGGCCATCTGTTTGAGGATGAGCAGTTGTTGAAAACAACAGTTTTGTACCTAATTTTTCCCACAAAGTTTTCCAAAAGTAGCAAAATCTAACATCTCTGTCAGACACAATAGTTCTAGGTAAACCATGCAATCTAACAATTTCACGCATAAATAAATCAGCTACATACTTGGTATCATCAGATTTATGACAAGGAATAAAATGTGCCATCTTAGAAAACCTATCGACTAACACAAAAATTCAATTACACCCTTTTTGAGATTTAGGTAATCCCAAAACAAAGTCCATTGAAATATCAGTGCTTGTGACTTAAACTTTGCTTTTTTGCACTCAGTACAAGTAGAACAAACTTTTTCTACGTCACATTTCATATTAGGCCAATAAAATTGCTCACACAAAACATCATAAGTTTTGAAAATACCAAAATGACCTATAAGACCACCACTATGAGATTCACGCACTAATAGTTCACGCAAAGAACAAACAGGCACACATAATTTATTATCTTGAAACAAGAAACTCTCATGTCTATAAAACTTGTTAAATGCGCCACTTTCACATGCTTCAAAAATGGATGAAAAATAAGAATCAGTAGAATACAAATCCTTGATGTATTCAATCCCTAATAACTTAGAATCAAGCACAGAAAGGACATACGATCTTCGAGACAATGCATCAGCTACGACATTCTCTTTTCCCTTCTTGTACTTAATGACATAAGGAAAAGATTCAAGAAATGCACTCCATTTAGCATGTCTCTTAGTCAGCTTGTTTTATCCATGCAAATATTTCAAAGACTCATGATCACTATGGATAACAACTCTTTTGGCATTAAATAATGTTGTCAATTTTCTAAAGCCCTAATTACAGCATACAATTCTTTATCATAAGTAGCATATTTCAATGTTGCACCATTTAATTTTTCCGAAAAGTACGCAATAGGTTTACCACTTTGCATTAACACAGCACCAATTCCAACCCCAGATGCATCACACTCAATTTCAAAAAATAAGATCAAAATTAGGTAATGCAAGAACGGGAGCACAAGTTAAATCATTCGTTAAAGTGTTAAATGCAAGTTCTTGTTCTTCACCCCATTCAAACCTAACATTCTTCTTTACTAAGTGATTTAAGGGTGCAGCCTTAATAGAGAAATCCTTCACAAACCTACGATAAAAATTAGCTAAACCATGGAAGGAACGAATGTCAGAGACAGACTTAGGTGTAGGCCATTTTCGAATTGCCTTAACCTTAGCCTCATCAACTTTAACACCATCCTTGCTAACAACAAAATCAAGAAAAATAACTTCTGGTAAACAGAAAGTACACTTAGCAAGTTTAGCATAAAGTTTATTTTCACGTAAAGCAGAGAGCACACTCAAAAGATGTTTAGCATGCAAAACTTCATCTCTACTATACACTAAAATATCATCAAAATAAACCACAACATATTTACCTATATAAGGTCTAAGCACATGGTTCATAAGACGCATAAAAGTAGAAGTAGCGTTAGTCAAACCAAAAGTCATAACCATCCACGCATATAAACCAAATTTATTTTCAAAAGTGGTTTTCCATTCATCACCCTCTTTCATGCGAATTTGATGATAGCCACTAGCAAGATCTGTTTTAGAAAATATGCAAGAGCCACATAGATCTTCTAACATGTCATCTAGCCTAGGTATGGGATGTCTATATTTAATAGTAACTTTATTCACAGCACGACAATCCACACATACGCCATGTTCCATCTTTCTTAGGAACTAAAATGATAGGCACTGAACAAGGACTTAAAGATTCACGAACCATACCTTTGTCAAGGAGTTCCTCGACTTGACGTTGCAGTTCCTTGGTCTCCTCGGGGTTCGCCTTATATGTAGGACGATTAGGAATTACTGATCCTGGAATAAAATCAATTTGATGCTCAATTTCCCTTAGAGGTGGAAGTCCCTATGGCAATTCTTCTGGAATAACATCCTCATAATCCTGCAAAACAGATTTAACAACACTAGGAATATTTTCAATGGGGTTAATGTTAGTTAAACATAAATCCTTGTAAACAATTAAAACAAGTGGAGTGCGAGTATTTAGAGCTCTCCCAAGGTCTCCCAAAGAAGCATAAAAGCTGCCTTTTCTCTCTCAAGCTTTTGGCTTTTCTCTCAAACTCTCTCACTTTTGATTCTCTCCTATTTCCCAAACTCTCTTTTGACTCTTTTGACTCACTTTTATGTCTTTTCTCTCTCTCTCTCTGTCTTTGCATTTTTTTTTATGAGATTCCATGAAATCCATAGGAGATAACGGACACAATACAATAGACAAACCCTTATGCACAAGTGAATATTGATTTGTCTTTCCATCTTTGTTAGCACCTTGATCAAACTCCCATGGACGTCCCAACAATATATGACATGCTTGCATTGGAACCACATCACAAAAAACTTCATCCAGGAACGTTTTAAAACATAAGAGTTAGCGAGCTTGCGACCGTACCTTAATTTCTCCACGATCATCTAACCATTGCAACTTGTAAAGCTGAGGATGTTTAAATATAGAAAGGTTCAATTTCTTGAAAAGTTCCATGCTCACACAGTTTGTGCAACTTCATCCACAATCACAAGACATGTCTTATTATTCACCTTACACCTTGTATGGAAAATATTGGTGCGTTGCTCGAGATTCTTGTCTTGAGCAGGCTGGATACTAAGAGCATGAGCTAGTAACATAGCTCGATGATAGCAATCTCGTAGACGAAGCAACTTTCGTTAATGCAACCATCAACAAGAAAGTACGAAAATAATTTTGTCTATCCCGTGAAACTCAAAAGAGTGCGGAAAATTCACAGTAAGACGATCGTTTATCTAAGTGATTCTATCTCTTAACTAAAACCAAGGAAAGAACACATTATCCATGAAAGATTCGAATTAAACAACAACCCACGCTAAGAATAGCAAGGACACCATTCAATATACTCGATCAGTCATCTATCAAGAGACTCAAGAAAGGTAGGAGTAAACAATGCCCAATTATGAAGGAATACTATTGATTAGTAATCTTCATA